TTATGTCAGAAATCGAAGATTTTACAAGGAACCTATAAGCAACACTATTATTTGCATAGCCAATGAATACGCAATCAATAGTTTTAATTTTGTTCCTTTTGGTAACGGAACTTGCACCTTTGATAAGCAACCCCACACTTTGAGGGTTATATATATAGGTTTATGTCCTTTCCATAGTTCATAAGGTGACTCGTCAATCTTCTTTAGAGGAACCTTATTCAATATGGTATTTACAGTAAGTAAAGCTTCACCCCACAAATTGTGTGGAAGCCCTGAACTATTTAACATGGAATTAATCATATCTTTGAATGTGCTATTTTTTCTTTCAGCAACACCATTTTGTTGTGGTGTGTATGGAGCCGTTGTTTGATGTATAATTCCATGTTGTGCCAAAAATCTGAGAAAGCAGTAGAATCATACTCTCCTCCTCTATCGGATCTAAGTGCTTTGATTTTTCTCTCAAGTAGATTTTCAACTTTGGTTTTATATGTCTTAAACATATTCAAAGCTTTGTCCTTGCTATGAATCAAATAAACATAGCAATACTTACTGCAATCATCAATAAAAGTGACATAATAATTCTTTCCTCCACGAGTTGGTGTGGATTTAAAGTCACAAAGATCACTATGAATTAATCCAATTAATTCATTTGATCTTTCCAGAATTGACTCTCTCGTTTGCCTAGCAAATTTTGATTCAGTACATGTTTCACACTTATGATTAAAATCAATTTCGAATTTAGGTCATAATTCTAATTTAACCATTCTTTGCATGGAACGAAAATTAACATGTCCTAATCTAGCATACCAAATATTAGAAGACTCAACAATATAAGTAAAAGCATTTATTTTATTAGCATCATCAATGACAATTACATTGAGTTTCACGAGGCCATCAGCCACATAACTGTTGGAAATGTGCCCTAAAACCAATCATATGATGATACTTTACGGACATTTCAAACTAATGTAGTTTAAATGTAAAGGGCAAAGATTATTGTTTGAGCCGTCTCATATAAATGTTATATGCTTAAACGATAAGTCCAAGGAATATGTGATTGGAAGAATGCGATCTAAAGAAGTTAGATTCATGAGACCATTCTTTCGTTGACACATTCTAAACGTTCCTGATCATAGGATTGTCAATTGGGCATTGACAGTCCGTTAAGATCAGTACGTGCTATGTCTTCTCTCAGGGAGAGTGACTAGTCTCGAGTCATTGGTGTGTGTGACATCAAGACAAGTACGTAGGTGCTCAATAGAGAATGAGTTCACTGAACACGATCAACGAAGAGTTCTCATATTCATGTCACATGAGAACTCATGGTTGGGATAATGCAAATTAGTCTTTTGACCTGAGGCATCACAGTTGTCTTGTGGTTAGGTCCTTAATCTTTGATTATGTCAAAGTCACTCCATCAGGAGGGTATCCATGACATCGTTGGGATTAAGCCACTTAGCCATGGAGGCAAGTGAATGTGCAACAAGGGATCTCTAACCTTCAAACTGTTTGAGGGAGAATACTCTATGATATGATTAAGAATCTTTGGCCAAAGTATGAATGAGATTTAGGAATGTGTTCCAAATCACATTCAAGGTAGTCATATAAGCACAAGACTCACATTGGATAGTAGACATGAATAAACTATCAAACCAAACAATGTGGTCAAGAGTATTGTATTAGAGAAAGACCGTATTGCATTTGTAATCCTAAAACTGAATAGGTTCTCCACCTCTTCTGATTAGCTTGGGTAACCATGACATGCTGCTAGGCGTCAACCATGGTTTGTGGAAGCCCTAAAAGTGTATTATCACTAACGGGAGAATTGAAAGTAAGTTTCAATTCACAATCGATTAGAAAGAGTTTTAATCGCCCACTGCCTCGCTAAAAGGAACCTAATGGATCGTTCACCGAGTAAGGTAGAGTTTGAAGAAACAACGGAGATGAGTAAGAATAATTAAATGGTTTAATTATTTATCTAAGGCTAGGATTAATTAATATGTTAATTAATCAAACGAATAAGTTCGTTAAAGACCTCGGGTTAGTTTTGGGCCGCAAGGCCCAATGGGATTTGAATGTCAAGCCCATTAACTCAAGTTGTATGACAACTTGAATAAACAAAGGGCTTGAAAGCCCAATAAACCTATAGGCCGGCCATGTGTAAAAGAATAGGGTTTTTTGTCCATTAGGTCACTTATTTGAAGGGACTATATAAAAGACTTTATAGCCTAAAATTTACAAAGGGTTATTTTTGGGGAAAGGATGAGAACACAAGCTCTCCTTTCTCTCTAAAATTTCGGCCACCTTGGAGGGATCATCTAGCAATCAAACTCCTCCAAGGTCACTCATTTCTCCTTCATTATGCCTTGGTGATGAATCATTAGAGGTTCTCAATTTTGGGAACTTGGAGAAACCTTTTCATCCATCCAAATCCATGGATCTAAGATGCAAGGAATGAAGGCCCTCTCTTTGGGTGATTAGCCTTTGCTTATGCAAAGAGGAATCTACAAAGGTATTGATTTCTCAACTCACTTTGTTTTGAGTTGAGTCTTGGTTCACCTATCTACTAGGCTTTGAAGTTCATGGGTTAAGTTTTGTTTTTGAGTGCATATAAACATGATTCCGCCTTTTAATTGTTAATTGCATGTTGTTGATGTTGCTCAAATGAACTTGTTTTTCACAAATTTTCCTTTAATAACCCTTTCCAACAAACATCCCACCCTTGGTAAGTACAAATTTGTTGGATTACATTACAAGTTTAAAGCTCTTAGCAATCAGAATAGGTCCAGAAACCAAGTTCCTCCTTATTTTAGGAACATGCAGCACATTCAGCAAGGTGAGACTCTTTCCAGATGTGAATTTGAGTACCACTTTGCCTTTGCCCTCCACCGCAGATAAGGCAGAATTACCCATATACAGCTTTTCTGCATGGGCAGTAGGATGGTATTCAATGAACATATTTATGTCAGCGCAGATGTGCTTAGTAGCACCAAAATCCAATAGCCATTCACTTACATTTGAGACCATGTTGACCCTGGACACAACAGCAACCAATTTTTCATAGGTGATTGCCATGGTAGCATGGTTGTTGTTGTTTCTGTTGACATTATTTCCGTCCTTGCGATGATAACAATCTTGTGCCTTGTAACCAGATTTGCCACACACATAGCATGCGCCTTTAATCTTCTTCAGATTCTTGCCTTTGGGAGCAAGGGCCAATTGTACAAATTGCTTGGTTTTCGAAGCCTTATTCTTCTTCAGCTTAGCCTTGGAGTTTCCTCCCTCAACATAATTTGCATTGGCTTCAATGGCAGCAAACCCACCATAACAGTCTGCCTTTTTGTGGTCTTCTTCCACTCGTAGCCTCAGAATCAAATCCTCCATATTCATCTCACAACGCTTATGCTTGAGATAAATTTTGAAGTTATTCTAGGAAGTTGGCAACTTTTCGTTTATCGCCCCAACTTGGAAATGCTCATTGATCTCGCATCCCTCGGAGTGCAGTTCATAGATCAATTTCTGGATTTCTTTGACCTGAGAGACAACAGATTTTGAATCCACCATTGTATATTTGAGAAACTTACCAATAACTAATTTCTTTGGACCAGCATTATCAATCTTATACTTTTTCTCCAAGGATTCCCATAACTCCTTCGTTGTCTTGCACAGAGAATAAATGTCGTAGAGATTGTCATCCAAACTATTCAGAATATAATTCCTGCAACAAAACTTAAAATGATTCCAAGCTTCAATTGCCATGACAGTCTCTTTTGTCATTGGATTCTCATTAGACTTTGGAGCTTCTTCCTTGACAACATGAGCAAGATTCAAGGTTGTTAGGAAAAACATCTTCTGTTGCCATCTCTTGAAGTCGAGCCCTTTGAACTTCTCGGGCTTTTCAGAGTATTTTGGCATAGCGCCATTCACAGTCACAGATTGTTGATCCAAGAATTTCTGTTTCACGATTGTTGGATAAATATCAACAATCTGTAATTTATTATTTATTAGCATATATAATTATATTACAGATTGTTGACATTTATCCAACAATGATACACCATTTATAGTTTCTTCTGTATTATCTTCCAAAATTTTACCATTCTCATAATCCTTTGGGTTTTCTAAATCTAAAAGATCCATGCCCTTGCGTTAATCATACCAACCTTTTTCTTCTATGCAGATGCTACATGGAAATAGCAAAATCCAGAGGGTTTCAGCAACCTTCAAACCAAGTACTGTACAAAATGGATCATCCGCGAAATGAAGAAACGATTTCACATTAAAACAAAATCATGTTCATTAGGGTTGAGCAGAAAGAATTAATTTCATGTCACATAAACAAATTAAATCATTTTAAGAATATATATAGGAAAGAAGGGCTTATCGTCATAAATAATGTCTGTTAACTTTAATTGACAATCATAATATATTTTTAAACATATAAAAATCTAATCAAATTTAAAGAGTTCAACCCACAAATATTCAGTTCAATATCGTTTTCTAGTATAAACATGAAAATAAGGTACAAAACCTTTTATATTGTGCAAGATATGAATCAATCAGCAATTGATTAATTTCCTAAACTCCCAAAAAAATTGAAATCAAATGAAAAAAAAATCATGCATAAATCGATCCGTATCTTAGTTGAACAATTCAAAATTCCAAAATCATCATCCGTTGGTCAAAAAAGCTTGTTTTTCTCAATAAGAGCATCTTAGGGTTTTAGAATAAAGATTATGTGCTAATAGTTTTTTATTATTAGGTGTAGGTTTATTGATAAATTTTAGTTTTATTGTTAATTTATAAGATTTAAACCTACCTTTCACTGAGAGGTAATGAATAATACTAAATCAATGTCCTAAGTGGCGGGTGAGTTTAATTGTTGAGTCTAGTAAATGGCCACTCCTTTAGCCTTTAGGATTATAGTGGAATGAATAACCCCTTGAGATCATGCATTCGTGAAGTCAGTGATCTGATATCCCTTACCCTTATTTTGTTAGGCTCCTTTGGTTTGCATGATGATCTTTTTTATTTATGCACACAAATTTTCTCTTGACACTGAGAGCCTGAACATTGAAAGATACATCGATATGATCTAAGGGTCATAGATTCGCACCGAAAGGAAGAATTCTTCCCGACAAAGAGGGCACTTTGGTGAAACTAGATTTCTCACATTTACACTACAGAGTTCGCAACAAATCAGATGCCCTCAAGGAATGAATGCGTATTGCCTTCTACTCGTATAACATACGACACACAACTGCTGCTGTGGAACATCAACCGCTGCATCCACTCCTACTTCAGCTTGAGTTTCAACGTTGCTCTCATTAGCAGGCATTGATTGCTGCCGCTGCCTTTGTTGCTGAAACAAATATTCGTAAACCAACACTCTCCATCTATTCCAATTCCTGAAACAAATATTTGTAAATCAATAAGAATTTAAGTTTTGTCAAATTTTTAATCCTTGGTTGAACGACGGTGAAGGAACAAGAGGAGATTACACGCGTGTTATCCAAATTCAGTAGCACTACAAAAGGTTAACCTTTAGACGAGCCTATAAACATACAATAGCTATAAAGGTTGAACGTAACTTGCAAGACAAGAATTTAACGTTTCAAGGAAAACTGTACCTGGCAACAGAATGGCCAAGGACTCCGATTGATATTGATCCAAGAACAATCCCACTCCAGAACAGTATTTTTGTGCGTAGTATAAGATCTACAACCATCTGATCCTTAGACATCTCAGAGCTACAAAAGATACAAAATCACTCAGGCCATCTTCAATGGAGAGAGCTAAAGGTCCAAAAGCCAAAAAAATGGTCTAATTGGCCCAAAAACTCATCTTCAACCAATGGATGAACTATAATTCTATAGAGATCACCACCAGAATTTAGCCAAATGTAGCCCACATTTAAACCTTTTTTTGGGACTCAGCTCTTCAAATGCAATAATTAATTTAAATTTAACGGTTAGATTTGAAAATATCCAAAAGTAGTTTAATTAAATTAACTAATAAATCTAAAGTAAAAACTTTAAAATAATAAATTATTGAAGGGCTATGTTTAGCTTCTTTGATTGGAGATGATATATGAGTATAGTCTGACACTGTTCATTGAAAAATAATCTTTTACAAGGTTATAATTATAGACAGTTATATTTAACTATTTCGGTTGGAAATAGCCTTAATGCACATCAAAGTACAAAGAGCTAGTATTAAAGCACAATTGCCATAATAAGATTAGTACTGAAGATTCAAAAGAAGGTGCTGAGAACAAAGCCACTTACAGAAAATAGGGAAGATCCTTGCAGGGCCTGATTACCGGCACTCCATTTTTGAAACTGTAGAGACCAACAGCACTAATTTCCTTTCCCAAAGGAAGAATCTTCACGTAATCGAGCACACCAACCTTCAACCAAAAGCAAATTAGAACAAAAAAAATTTACATTAAAAAGAATATAGAAACTAAAGACACTACCATCTCCAATTATGGATAGGTTGCATGGACACGGACACGGAGATTGCAACACGCAACACGATAAATTTCAAAAAAAAGGAATACGGACATAGCTAGGAATGACGATTAAAACATAATAAATATTACATATATTAAAAACAATATTTTGAATTCATAATATAACACAATACTCATGTTCATCAAATTTGTTCACCATACACAATAATTAAAACACAAGATATCTTTTATAAAAATGCCCCAAAATATCTTTTATATTTACAAAAAATGCCTCTACCGCATCTTGACCAGTGTCTTAATCGTTTCTTGTCCGTGTCCAAACCGTGTCGAGTACGTGTCCGAGGTTTTAGAGTGTCTATTCAACCGGATCCTTTCGGCCCGAAAATGCCCAAACCCCGACTCCAGCAAGCATGCTAAGGTGGGCTAAATCCTAGGACTGCAAAATACAGCAAGACGTGCAGCCGTCCTATATTCTTTTGTTAAAAAAAAAACAGCAAAGTAGTAAAAATAAGCACAGTAAGTGCCAAAAGTTTGCACAACTCACAGGGTACTTATCGCCAATAAGTGTCTTCAGGGCTGAATAGAGGGAAGCGTCAACATGATGATTATGTCGATAAACAAAATCAAGAATTGACTTCAGGCCGAAACCACGATCAACAAGAATAATACTATCATCAGACCGCCATCCGAAAAGGGCCATCCAATCGCTAACTACACACTTCACACAAAAATTCAATTTCCAATTCAGTATTATGCAAATAGACTACAGGTAAGACGGATTATAATTAAATCTCAATAAATTAATAACCTTAAGACCAAAGAAAATCTACTAATTTAGCAAATATAAAATAATTGATAAATTTAACAACTTATTAATTAATCAAGGTATTCTTTATCCTCTTTATTTTTTTGAACAAACTTTCTTCAGAAACATTAGAATTTTATATTCTTTATTAAGTAACAATAATATATATTTATTTGACCAAATAATATTCATAAATCTAATCATTTTTCTTAAAATATGTTATAAATATATTACATTATTTATTTTAATAAATATTTAAAAACTCTATTTAAGTTAATATTATTAACTTACATATTACGTTGGACTTATATAATTTTTTTTTATAATGTATTAGTTCATAAATTTAGCAAATAATTTTATCTCAACTCGGAACCTCACCAGAGATTATTTTATTTTGCATTTAAAAGAATTTAAAAAAAAAAAAATTTACACGACACATCAGAAAATCATTTTTAGGCAAACGTTATCTGATTCTCAACTCGGAACCGGACCGAGGTTATTAATTTAACGGGGTATTAAGTTATGGAAGTTTTTGTAGAATAATAAAAAAAACTAAACGCACAGATTGGGTTCTCTGAAAATGTAGGGTATTCTGAACAAGTACGCCGGACTTGAAACTATTCCATTTGCGGTCGAAGGCAGACTTGGCTTCAACGATGCCTCGTACGACAATGAGCTTTGCGTCGGACTGGTCGGATTGATCGAGCGCTGGGTTTGAACGGAGCCCGGAGACTTTGACGGAGGGAGCTTTGCGGATCTTGCGTAGGGCTGAAGAGTAGGAGCTGAATTTGTGGAGAGTGAGCACAGCGGCGTACGCTAGGGCGAAGCCCACAAGGTGGCTTTTGAAGGAGAGGGCGAGTCCGGAGACTAGGGAGTTTAAAATTTGACCGCGCGGCATTGCGCGCGGTGGTTGTCGTCAGTATTTGCTTATACAAGGCGGGCGACGGATGAGAGAGCACGGAGAAGTTGTGAATTCATAGTTAGTCTCTCTCCTTTTTTGTCCTTTAAATTCTAATTGAAAAAGGAATCCCACAGTCGCGTTACATTGCCATTTTTCCTTTTTGACTTGAAAATCAGGAACAAGAGATGCCCTCCAACCCATTTAAACACCTCCAGCGGTCCAAATTTGCTTGGGCAATTGGTGGCCCATGCAAAGCATGTCCAAATACCCAAGCAAGATATGCTCTGCTTTCGTCAGTCGGTTAGGTTGACGTCAGCATGATGTCAACCACGTTTATTATTTTTCTTTTGTTGGGTGCGTGTAATACACGTGCTGGAGAGCGGTCAACACAAATTGCAACAATGGGCTCCGCTGCAGGGGTCCAACAGCATACCCCAATGGCTTGCTAACGTGGCTTTGGAAGGGCCATTGGATTTCCAACTAAAAAAATTGAAAAAAGTTAATATTGTGTCACGTGTCATGTTCTGGACTCTCAAATTAAATAATAATAAAAAATTCAACGGTTAAGATTAATCTAATCATTAAAATGGGCAAAATACAAAAATATTGGGGGGGGGGGGGGGGGGGGCGCGGGGGGAAGGGAAAAAACATCTCATCCCAAAATTTATTGTATCTATATGCCGAACCCGTTAAATTAAGAAAATGACCATGGCAGGCTAAGTGGAAATCGGACGTGGACCTCTGAGCTATTCTCTTACTTTGGCTATTTTCTTGTACTATTTAGATAGTACTCTTCCTTATGAACATGTATGATAGATTCTCAACTTTGTGCACCTGTTGTCCCAAATTGACCTACGGGGTCTACAAGCCCATGAATCAATTAATGTCATTATCCATGAAGCACTTCTTAGCCAAAAGTCTTTAATTCTATTAATTAGAATTGTTAGGAAGTGAGCATATACTCTTTTAAAAGGATTGAAAGAGTGCAAAGCTCTAGGAATATCACATTTTCTTAGAACGAGATAACATAAGGAATCATATCACTTTAACTATGAAAAGTGACTACATAGTTATCCAGATAACATCAAGAATCATATCACCTAAACTATGAAAAGTGACTACATAGTTAAAGTGATATGTTTCTTGATGTTATATGGTTCTAAGAAAATGTGATATTTGTAGAGCTTTGCACTATTTCAATCCTTTTAAAGGAGTATATGTTCACTTCCTTATAATTCTAATTCATAGACCCTTCGAGGATATATTTCTTTTATTATATGAAATTCAAGTTGTCAAAAAAAAATGAAGTAAAAAAATACCATACATATAACATAGTGTTTTGATATTCATTTAAACAAATAATCATATTGATTTAGGGTGGTGCTATCCACACACTTCTTTTTACCTCTTGCACACTTCAGTTAATTTCTGTCCAATGGGTCGTGATGGCAATATGGTTCTTGCAAAGAATAGCAATGTCGTGGTGGAGGTATAAGAAGGAACAAATCCCCAAGGGCGAAGGAGAAGAGTGGATATATTCAAGCAACGATTTGAGAGCAGGTTCATGCCTCCGAAATACAAGACCTGAAATTATTTGAGACTTCACTTTGCGTCGAGGATTCCAAAAAGGTCACTTGCAGGCTTCTCTAGCGGCATTTGTGAAATGTACCACATATCTCAAATTCTACGATGCTTTACTTCGCATTGAGGATTCGGGAAATGCCCCGAGTGACAATCTTGGTGATGAAGGTAGTAGCATTCAGCATGAGAGCACCAGGGGGCAGTCTTCCTTTGAACCCTGATAGAGTTAATCTTTCTAACGGAGCAATTACAACCCTGTATCTTCTAGTGGAGGTTCCAATTCCAGTACACCACGTTCTGAGGTCTAAGTCTACGAGTAATTCTCGTTTCTGCTCTCAGGACAGTTCCAGCAAATCCAGTGCTCAAACTTGTTTTCAATGCAAGAGTACATGTTGTTATACATGCGGTCAGCAAGGACATCGGGCTAACCAATGTCCCAAAAGTAGCAGAATTAGCTCACAACAGTCCCTTATTAGCCAAACTTACTCATAAGAACTGGCCCTTTCAATTGGCCGCATATGGAGGCGTCATCCACTATCAGAGCAATACTACGCTATATCCATGAGCTGTCAACTAGTATTCAGACGGTCTGGTTCCTATGCTGAAATCACTATGTAACACCAGAGAGGCGCACCTCATTACTAGGATGTCAGGGCACATTGGAATGGACGTGGTCAATATCAGAACACAGGAGAACGTCCATCAATGGC